TGTGTGTGTGTGTGTGTGTGTGTGTGTGAGAGAGAGAGAGAGAGAGAGAGAGAGAGAGAGAGAGAGAGAGAGAGAGAGAGAGAGAGAGAGAGAGGGCACAAACCCGAGACAATTGGATTGCTCTATGGGTCCGCAAATATATTAAGCAGCCACACCAAGCGTATGACAGCGAAGAGTGACGAACAGCATATAACACAGTAAACTGAGCTACTGAGATGGCCGAGTGCCCTGCTTGGTCTATACTTACAACCACCGACCCCTAGCCTGCTCCATCTACAACTACAAAAAGGGCGGAAGGCCCTGCCTATCGCCCCTTGACAGTTCTATGGTACTCGTTATTGCAGAGATCGTCTTCCCCGCACGCTGGTACAACGTGTCCTCCGCCGCATTAACCGGTTCCTCCGTATTCCCATCGGACTGTTCACAGCAGACGATGCTTTGAAGACGAATGTCCTCTCCTCTCGGCCTGCTGCAGGAGGACGTCACCCTGTCAGTGACAGATGATGTGTTTCGCTGCTTAGCACTTCTTCCAGAGGATGCCGAAGGCCAGACGGAACTTGGTGTCCTGGGAGTCGAGGAACATTGCGGCCTTGTTGCCTTGCACCCTCACCACCGTCTTGATGTTCAGGTTGGGAACGCCGTTGCACTGGCTCCACACCACCGTCAGGAAGCGGTCCGTGGCCTCGAAGCTCTTGCTCTGCGGGCCGTAGAATTTGCGGCTGATGGTGCACGTGCCCGTTTGTCCGGAGAAGTAGTAGCTCGACTCGTAGACTCCCAACGAGTTCTTGCCGATGGCTGCGAACCCGCGGCCGGTCGCCTTCCCCAGCGTGAAAATCCAGCCCTTAGGATACTTCAGCCCGAAGGAGAGCTGGCAGAACTTCCTCGTGTTGGCGAGCCCTCCGTCGGTTGTGGCAACCATGCCGCCGAAGATGAACGTGACGGTGGAGTAGTCCGGCGAAAGCACGTAGTTCGTGTTTTCCCAGTTGCATCCGGTGCCGCCGTATGTGACGGAGTCTATGGTCACCTTGGGCGGGCAAAACGCGCTGGTGGAGGATGCAGCAGCGATCAGAAGCACAGCAGCCAGCGCTGCCATCGGAAACGTCAATCGTGCCATCGCTCCGGACCTGAACTTGGACGCCCTCCTGCGCGCTACGGTAGGCTGGTCGCTGAAACTCGGTCTTCCAGCGGCCTCCGCTCTCGACTCCCCTTCTAGGTCGCTCGTCGCTTTACTTCCGCAGGGATATATCAGTGCGCAATCAATGAAATGACGAAGCGCAATTCAATCTATGCCCTAGTAGAGAGGGGGCTGTTCACTTTTATACACTACACTCTCACGCAGAGTTCAACACGAAGGTGTGGGCTTCACTCCACTCCTCACTCTCTATAAGTATGTGAACTTCATCCTGAACCTTATACACTCCAACGGATCTAATATCTCACTCACTCTCTATAAGTATGTGGACTTCATCCTGAACCTTATACACTCCAACGGATCTAATATCTCAAACGTATCTGGGCAACACCGTTGTTAATATGCGTGTCGAACTCTGTGCGATGGAGCGAAGCCCTGTGCCTTCAACCAGCACTACCCTGACCACCGTGGCAAGGGACTCCTCACACCACTACTGCAAGCTTGGACTGCACTCCGAGACAGCGCAGTCGAAAAGGCAGGCTCAGATGTCCGTGCGCGAGGGCCAGTCCCACCCACCAGAGGGTCTCATTTTCGGCCGCTCCAGGGGATCGATTCCACCGGCAGACCGGTAAGGTAGAAGGGTGCAAGATGCAGGACCGTTGGTGATGGGAGATCGCACGGCAGGAAGAATTTCGATGCATCCCCGTAATACTATAATGACAATAAAAAAGGCCTGAAAGGCCGTCCTGTCCAGATTTTGACAGGTAATTGAATTGGTTGGGAATTAGCCTTTCAAAAAACAAAAAATGAGACAGTGGTCGTCGATTCCCCCGCTGAGGGCAGTGGAGGGCATCCAAAAAAAAACTGTGCCGTGCAAGCGCGGAAGCGCAGCCACTCGGGAGCGAGACCGGCCGGCGGCCAGGGCTTGAAGCGCTCTGCACAAGTGCTTCTTCACGGCCACAACCAAATAATGTCGACCCGGGAAAGAGCAAATAAAATAACGATGGTCATAAAATAACGATGGTCAACTTCCGAGCACATGGTCAACTTCGGAGCACAAGCAACTCCTCCCCGGAAAAACAACGAGTGCATCTTCCCACACAGAAGCGAAAGATGCATCCGTTACTACGGCAGCACAACATCTGCTGTGCACACCTCCAAACTCACTTTGGCCCCGCCATCCAAAAATCGCACCCTGGCCGCCCAAAATGGAAAACGGGCCGCCGTCCATGAAAACGGCCTGCAGACCGCTTTTCGTGACCGCTGGTCTGCCCCCCCGGCCTACCGGTCTACCGCACCCTTCAATTACCCGTGTTACCGCCCTATAACCCCCTTTTGCCGTCGTCTACATTTCATGAAAAAGATTTTCTCGCTACGCGACAAAATGCAAGCGGTGTAGAGCAGCCTCCTGGCTGCGAAAAAAATTCCCCCGCTACAGTGGAGAGAAGCGACCACTGTAGGGGAGAGAAGCGACCACTGTAGGGGAGAGAAGCGACCACTGTAGCGACCAATGGTGAATTTTTTGCCTCCACTCCCCTACAGTGCATCCAAAAAAAAAAGAAAAAAAAAAAAAAAGAGAATAGGGCAGGGCTAATAGAGAAGGGGTGCTCCAAGATGGGAAAGGGTGATACTGGCAGCTCCACGGGATAACGGAGTCCCAGGATGCGACAGAAATGGCCACAGCCCAAGGAAACAAGAAATGACACTCTCTGAGTTCTAAGACGTATCAATGGGACATCCTCTGTGATATAAGATGTATCAATGGGACGCTGGGCTCGCTTTCCAGCAGGTGCCGCTCCCCACCAATAGATGGAGCAGCCCGACAGATAAGCCCTCAATTCGGATGGTTCTCTTACCACCGCCGGAATCGAGGGCTTACACAGAGAGAGTTAAGGGGTTTAAAGGGTTCAAAGGGATACCTCTCAGTAACATTGCACAGAGGACTTGCAGAACAGGACTCTCTCACTCTAGGGGGGCTGCTGAACTAGGGCTGGGCTAATAGAATAGGACGAGCGCCATGAAAGGAAGGGGAAAATAGCAGCTCCAAGGGACACCGGAGCCCCAGGAAGAGACAACTATCACCTTAGCCCTAGGAAACAACAAACACCAATATCTGTATTATATCTGTATTGTAAGTTGTAGCAATGGGACTCTGGACCCGGTTTCCAGCAGGTGCAGCTCCCCACCAATAGATGGAGCAGCCCGACAGATAAGCCCTCAATTCTGACGGTTCTCTTACCACCACCAGGACAGAGGGATATGGCAAGGGCTATTCTTCCAAAAAAAAAAAAAGAAGAAGAATTATTTTCACCTTTTTTTTTTTTTTTTTCCCAGGTTGTTGTAGAGGCTGGATTACAGACATATAAGAGTCACCTTCGGCACTCGGCCATGTGGTAGAGGCCCCTCAATCCTATAGGACTCCCTCCCGAGTCCCAACCACCTCTTTCGTAATTTCTCCCGGCACACTCCAACTCCCACTATCCTATCTCAGTGTCTACCACTCAGGATTGTCACCCTCCAGCCTTGGGGGTGACCTGACCGAACCGTGGTTGTCGGTACCAGGGCTAAGCTGAGTCCCACACACCCGACTCGTTGATTCTTTTTTTCTTTTTTCTTTGTTTTTCTTTTTCTTTTTTTTTTCTTTTTTTTTTTTTTTTCTTTTTTTTCTTTTTTCTTTTTGAAGCCCAGGTTGTTGTAGAGGTGGGATACTAGATGGATGGCATTCACCCACAGTACTCGACCACTCGGTTGTCCAGACGAACCCCTCTGAAGACCCCACCCACCCTTCCTCTTATCTTTTGCCCTGGGGCACCCCCACCTCCCCTGTCCTACCCTAGTGTCAACCACCCAGGACCATCACCCATTGGCATCTTGGCGGGGTGAATGCCTACACCCTGCTCAGCCCCGGTTGAAGCAGACGCCGTGCAATCGGGGACTCCGGGAGGTTTGAAGATGCTACTACAGGTTTTCATGAGGGTGCACAGTGACTCCCATCTAGCTTAGTTGTGTGGTGATGATAGAGAGCTGGGTATCCGACGTTCCCTCGTATGTCCCTGGAGCCTGTTCCGGCCATGACACCCCCGACATCCCGTACTAAGGAACTGCTATGCCAGCCTCAAACCTATGCTACGTACTAGGAGGATAGCCAACCCTAGGTCATGAGTTATGGACTGAGTTTCTTTAGCCCTGTGTTGTATGGTAATCAGAGAGCAGACAATCCTCTGTTCCCCCGTATGTCCCTGGAGCCCGTTCCGGCCCTGCGGTGAAGTGCACTATCTCCTGACACTCCCGACATCCTGTACTACGGAACTGCTATGCCAGCTTCAATCCTTTGACAACGTACTAAGAGGATGACCAGCCCTAAGTTACAGTCTGGTATAGAACACAGGACCTTATGTGAATCGTGCAAGTGACCTAACATATTGACCTACACTATGAAATAGTCTGTAGCTGTGCTCTGCTGGGCTCGAGTGAACCAGACTATGCGAGCCACCCATCAGTCCCATAACAACCCCGTAGACCAAGATCATCAGGATACCAACCGTCGCCCAGTCCCCATATACAACAACCACGGACTACCCCTTGAGTGGTGCACAGGAAGTGTCTGTAATAACTTACCTGCGTCATCTCAAGGGGGTGTGTGTCCAGCCGTGCGTCATTCTAACGCCCTGCCGGTGTCCATGCGCAAGGCTGCGGAGTTTTGAACCCGCAACCTCATACCACAATGCGCATTTCCAACCGGTGCTCCAACCACTGAGCTCAATTAGAAACGACACTTCCAACAAGCAGTGTCCCCTCAGTCACAGCCAATGACTGACTAAGGGCAAAGCCACAAAATATGCCTATTTGGGAAGGGCCGATTTGAGGTTTTGGGCATGGTTCGGGTCGCACTGCTGTACCTTTAAAGATGGGACAAGGCCCTGGCCGTCTGGAGCAATGGAGATTTGATATTTCAGTGGTCACAGAGCTCCTTCTACAAATTGTGCAGGAACTTTCAGGAACGAATTTTCAACAATTCTCGAAGACAATGTTAAAAAATAAATAGGGCATTTGCTGTCACCTCCAGAGGCGACCGCACATTCCAGTGGCTACACAGGCCGCTGACAAATGGGCACACGAAGGTACATTTAGGACTTTGGCAAATCTGTGCGACAGGTCCTGTACCTCTTTTTGGGGGGAATTTGGGATTATAGGTCCCAGTGTGAGTATGCCCTAAGGGCATACCTAAGGGCATACTCACACTGGTAGCCAATATCACAAGAATGACAGATTCTGTGATAGGGCTTGGTAAGAAATGACACAAAATGTGTACTGAAAATCTCCAGCCTGCCTGGCCCCGGGGCTACACCATTTGTGGGTGCGCACAAATGCATTTTGCATTTTTGCTTTTCCAAGAGTTCACGGGAAAAGGAATTTAAAAAAAAAGTTGGATACGAAGAGCATGGCACACGACCACGATGGGAGGCGGCATTGAAAAGGCACACGACCACTATGGCAGGTCACATTGGAAAGGCAAACTCAGATGGCCCTTCACAGAATTTGGATGTATAGAGACTGCATTCCGTCAGTATCATCAAGTACCAAGTGCATGCGGGGAGTTTGCTTTTCCCTTTTTTGATCTTTTTTCTTTGTTTTCTTTCAAAACTATGCTATATTCTTCTCTCAAACCTTTCATCATTTTTCAAATTCTTTCAATTCACCTTCATATTCTTCTCTCAAGCCTTTCATCATTTTTCAAATTCTTTCAATTCACCTTCATGACCTACCTACCACTACGCCTAAGGCAAGGACCCCACAGCTTTGCGGATGGAAAAAAATGTGGCCACGAAAAGCGGGCAAGTCATTTTGGAAAGTTGGAAAGTACTTTTTCCGGGACCCCATTGCAGAGGACCAAATGGGCTTGGAAAACCCTTTGGAAATTAATCGTTGCCTGTTTTCGTTGGCACTCGTTTGTTTTGTTCTTGTTTCCATGTTTTTTTTTTTGGGGTAACTTCGGCGCAGTCACGAAAATGGTTTGTAATTGCATTCCAAACACCGATTTGGCACTTTAGTCAGGGGCCGAGTTTCAAT